ATCCTGAATCTAGGATCTATAAGTCCTGGAGAGAGTATTGAACGGTTGGAAATGAAGCGAAGTGAGAGGGAAATGAGGCGATGTTCTACTTCTTTAATGGGTCCTCTTGTTCTGTTGATTAATCTGGCTCTTTTGTTTGATTAAGTCGCCTTTTGCGTTTGATTGAAGCGTCTATACGCTCCTTATGCTTTGGATCTTTGAGCTTTTCTTGAATAGTAGCCTGAATTGACTAATTTGGTTTAAAAGTTCTTAGACGGATCGTTGTATTATAGTAGTAGTAGTTACTCTAAAAGTGATGCTTTCCGCAGTCGCAGAGTAGTTTCTGCTTAAGCTGTTTTCCTTGGAAGTTTGCCTAGAAGGCTGAATGAGAACTAGTAGTTAACTTTTGAGATTTATTTATTCTATAGAACTGGCGAAACTTCTCGATGAGATCGTATAGATCTGTTATCGAAGCGGGATCATCAATCAATTTAACTTGCATTGAGGTTGCAAACTGAGGTTCGATGGGCTTAAGAGCGTTTAGAAAGTCTCTAGTAGGCCTGCTGCCTGATACTTTAGCAAGATTATGCTTCTTTGCTTCAGTATAGAGCTTCTCCTATTGCTGTAGCTATGTGTCGATTGATTGAGCCTTCGGGGTTTTATAAAGATTGCGGTATTGCTGCTCTAGCTCTATGAGCCGTGCCTGATCCGTAGGCGCTAGGCGTTTTTGTAGAGCTCTAAGGATGTCCTATGGATGGGTCTCAACTAATGTGATGAAAGAGAGATTGTTGACTGAGATCGATTCTTAGATGTAGGTTGTGAGATCTACGAGAGCCTTCTCACGTTTGTCGAATGCCGCTGTTTGGTAGCGAAAGATAGTGAATTCGGTTTAAAATTATGCCTGGCTATTTGCCTCTCCTGAAGCAGGCAAAGATGGCAGCGTAGGTTCTTGAAGTTGATCTGGTTTGGTAGACTTAGATGGATCAACTGCTTCCTAAATACGTAGTGCTATCGTACGTAATCGTATAAGGTATAGCTAGTTATCCTAATCTAAGGGTTTGTTGAGAACGACTAATCTCTTTATAGACTTAGCTATATTAAAATAGTGTAGATAGCTTTTGTAACGAGGCCTCTTTAGCCTAGGCGTTGGAATTGCCTAGCGGGTGAATAGGTTCGAAGGGTTTACCTTGAAGGATAAGAAGTATAGGAAGTTGAGAGATAAGTTACGTGAAGGATCGGGTGTAGGCGTGTTACCATCAACCTTTAGTAGAGATTGATACTTTGAGTTGACCACGAAGGTCCTATCTACTGCTAGAGAGCGTGGTCTAAATACATGTAGGAGATGCTAACAATCTGGGTCCTAACCCTTGGATTAGGAGGGTTGGATTAAAGATATAGGATTACTGTGATCCATTGGTCCGTGCGTCTTTCGGATTAGAGACGTTGGATTACTGTGATCTAAGGTGGGTCCTGCACGTGACCTTGGTGCCGCTTTTCTGCCAGCTAGCTTCCTGCGACCTGATAACCTTCCTTCTTGTTATAGAGCGGACGCGATAAGTTCCTTGTCCTGAATCGCTCTGTGAGTCTGTTGTTGGTCTGCTGCTTTTGCCCTTGTGGACGATAATCCCCTGTGGGCTTCTTGGGGTTGTGGCCTTAGTTCCCTTGCGGCTTTTGCCTAGTACGTGTCTGCTGGTGCCCTGCGGGACGCGGGCCCTTGTGGTTACTAAGCCCTTGAGGTCTCCAGGACCGTGTGGGCCTTCTTCCCATAAGGTCTTCTCGACCCTGCGGGTTGATTTCCCTTGCGGTCTATAACAGCTTTCCGCTATCTAAAATAAATATTATACTAGCTTATTAAGCGAGTGAACCGATAAGGTTTGATTAAAGATTGATCTTAAAGGGAATAGGCGTAAAAGGATGCGATTCCGGGCTTATAACTATAAAGCTGGGTACGAGGAATTAGACGCCGCTTGTCCTCCTAGATTACT